CTGGAAAAAGAGGGAGGGAGCAAAAGAGAAAGGAAAAGGAAAAGATTTTCAGAACTGGAAAACGTTTTGGGGAACACGGGGTTGAGTTAGTTCAGCCTAGGCCATATGCCAGGACCAGTTGGAAACTAAATAAATCCAGGAGTGAGCCCCAGCCCTGGAGAGGGAGCCAACTGGCCCGGGGATGGGGCCTGGGCCTATGGGATCCAAGTTCCCCAGTGATTCTGCTTCTGAGGTGCAGCCCAGGCTGAAGCCATCCCATTCCTGCCCAGCTCCCAGAGTCAGAGGGGACAGCAAGGCCAGGGCAGCACCGGGCCCTGCCCACTCAGTGCCGTGTGAGGTTGGGGTCCTGCCCCTCTGCCAGGCCCCTTCTCACTCCTCCTTGGACCTGACTCATGGCAGAGGGGCCCTGTCCTAACCCGATGGTCGCCAGATCCCACGTCACATCCTGTCCCGAGCAGGCCTCAGACACAACGCGGAGCAGGACGAGGCTCCCGAGGTCTTGGCCCCAGCAGCAGGGCAAGAGGATGGTTGCTACCCCAGGACCTGGCCTCTGAGGCCCCTGCTGACCCCACATTCCCCAAGGCAACCTGAGCAGTGAATAATGGGAATTATATAGTCAGTGAATTTGATTTACTGATGAAATCACCGAGCAAATAACTGTGGTTCAGGTCTGTGCAGGACGGTGTTACTTGTGGATCCAAGCAGCGACTGGGATCTACAGCTCTCTGATGTTCTTAGGTTTGAAGTTTTTTCAGAATAAAATGTTAAAGGGCTGCAAAAAGCAGTAGTTGAAGAAGTAGCTTTAAAAATGTGTCCATGCCTCAGCCCCCCCCCCTCGCCTTCCCACCTGGAAACTCTGGGAGCCTCGGGTGCCCAGCTTGGGCATTGGCCCATCCTTGTTGCCTCCCTGGTGGAGTTGGTGGACAGATGGAGGGGCTTCCCCGGACTTACGGAGGCTCTGGGCAGGTGGGGATGGGACAGGCGGCCACCCTTTCTGTCTACAAGAGTGACAGCTTCTGGACAGGCCCTGTTCAAGTCTGCTGGCAGCTGGGTCATGCATCTGGGACCCTGATTCGGAGCTTCTTCCCATGTGCCCTGACTCTGTGAAGCAGGGGCTCGATCCGGTAAGCCTGACAGGAAGCTTGTCTCATTGAGGTCAATCTAGTCTCCATGGTGGAGTTAAGTCATGAAATACAGCACACCATCCTCCAAAGTAGAGCTCTGATCACCGAATAGCAATTGGCATGGAGGGGAAGGATAAAGAAAACCAGCTTCTCGAGTCTGTCGGTCCCAGTGGCGTCCCTGCACCCACTGTTGCCAATCACTGGGGTCTGGGCGACGTCACAGGCTGCCAATTGAGCAGAGACGCTCTCCGCAGCCACGGGCAGCAGATCTGCTCCAGCTTCAAGCCTCAGAGTGCTGAGAGGCGGCTCGGTGTCATAGGGAGGAAGCTCACACACCAATGCAGCATGGCATACGCAGTGCCTCCTCCACGGGCCACCGTGTGGGACAGACACCCGGCTCCGAGTTGGGACTGTGCCTCTGGCCTCTCCTGGCTTGATACAAATCCCTGTTAAATCCCCCGTCAGAAATCCCTGCAGGGGGCTGCTGCGCCCACTTGTCTCTGGTGCTTGGGACTGTGACAGGTGAGAAGGTCAGGCCTTGGTACCTTAGCACTGCAGAGAAGCCAGTGGGATGAGGGTTCCTTTTTTAAACAAATCCCTCTGACCTTTCCGTCAAAGGGCTGAAAATGCCTGCTTAGGACATGAGACAGGGACCAGCAGAGCAGTTCCAACCAAGTTCATCAGACAGAATTGAGAAACGCTCATCATCGAGGGCAGAGTGAATGAGGATGAGGTCACATCCCAGTGAGGAAGGACCCCAGGACAGGCCCTGCAGCCCAGGTGTCTCCCAGAGAACACAGAAAATTGCATGTGAGACCGTTTTTCAAGAAAGGAAACAGGAGAAAACAAACAAGTCATCAAAGCAGCAATGCCCTTTGGAGCTCAGTTCTGCCCTTTGTCTGAGACTCTAGGAAATTGCATTTGGGGAAAGAAACCTCCCCGACCATTGGGCCCCCCAGGGCCCCCCAGAGAGGACAGAAACCTTTACTTCAAACTGCCTGACTGTCCCTGGACGCTCACTGAAGCACTGCCACCCCCGCCACGGAGGAAATCTGCATTTGTTTTGTCCTTCCACTTGACGGATTTGGTTTCCTTTTCACAAACCCAGGGAACCTGCACCTCCCCTGGAGATGCCCAGGACTCTGAGGCATAAAGCGCAGGTTGATTTCCAGAACACAGCTTTGCAACTAGTTTCTGCCAAGCCCAGGGTGTTGCAGGAGCCCGGGTCCTGAAGGAATCGGAGCAGGACCATTATACGTGGTCTTCCTGGTTCTGGCTCCAGTTCCCCAGAGATGTAAGTTGTGTTCTTCTTGGGCCATCAACAGTTTTGTGGTTGAGCTCTTTTGTAGCCTTAGTATCTCCAGTTGCCATAGCTTAGGCCTTAGGAGGGAAGACATCTTAATTAGTGGATTTGAGCCCCAAAAGAAGGAAGGAAAGCAGCTCTGGGCTCCTCTGTTGTGTCAGCCACATGGCAGGCTGGGGTCCGTGCCGCTAGTGGGCACCCAGCAGGAAAAAAAATGGCGCTTAGCCACCTAAGGTTCCTCCGTGACAAAGGTGAGCGACAACACACCTGCCCCCTCACCTTGGACTCTGAATCTTAACAGCTCCTCTCCCTTCCTGTTCTATCCTTAACCTTCTCACCTAGAGAATGCAAGACAGTGTGTGCTGCCACTAGATAAACAGTGCAGCAATTTCTCAAAATGTTAAGCATGGGATTCCTGTGTGATGCAGTAAATCCGATAGGAATGTACCCAGGAAAAATCCGCACAGCATCTCCTGTGTAAATGTTCACAGCAGAATGATTCGCACTAACCAGAGAGGAAGCACTCCAGAGGTGCACAAAGGGTGAACAGAGAAACAAAATGCGGTGCATCATGCGATGGAATATTGTTAGGCAGTAAAAAGGAAGCAAAAAAGGGAAGATGGTACTGAAATAGACTACAGTGTGGCTGAACCTTGGGAGCATTGTGCTTAGTGAAAAAAGTCCAAAAAGTTAGGCAAAAAGAATAACTATAATCTCATTGATAGGACATGTCTAGAAAAGTCAATGTAAGGACAGGATGTAGGTTCCTGAATGCCTGAACTTGGGGTAGAAAATGGAAGGGGTATAAATGGGCAAGAGGAATCTTCTAGATGTAATGCATATTCTGTAAATGCAGTCATGGGTATTCAACTCTGTATGGTGGTTCTAGGGAGAAAGAGAGAGAGAGAGAGAGGCCATGCACATATATATACTCAGGTTGAGGAGCACCCCTTAAAATGCCCATTTGTCTGAGGCCTCAGGCCATGGCCATTGGGGAATAGGATTGTTGCAGCTGTCATTCATCAACATGCAAACATGCCACATTCAGGCCAGTCCGCATCTCCATTAATAATAACCTCAAAGACTGTATTTCCACATAAAGTTGTATTCCAAGGTTTCAGAAAGACATGAATTTTTGGCGAGGGATGCAGATGTGAGCTTGACCTTAGAAATAAGGGAGGGCCTTTATTCCTGTGATTGAGGGACTGGGGTAAAAAGTAGGAAAAAATATAGATTTGCTTTGGCTATTTTTCAAATCTTCCTGGTCTGTTGGGAAACATCTCATTCCTTCCTCGCATTCTTAAAATACCTTTTAAAAGCACATGCTTAGTTATTCCAGGAGTCTGTACATGACCACTGTACCACCAGAAGTCCCGGCAGCAGGCGGTTTTCTCTTGTGTTTTTCAGTTTTGCTTTGTAAGCATGCATTCAGCAGAGTCTTACGGGAGAATCCGGGGGGCTGGCGGGAAGGCCGGTCCCCCCGAGGGTGTTGTTTGCTTTTGCTAAGTTCCTGGGGCCTGTTACCAATTTAGAGTCATTCTGCATTCATTCTTTGGCGTGAATTTCACTCTAAACCTATGTCAAGTCAGGCTGGTTACAAATGTGCAGGGGAGGCATTTTCTTCTACATTCATAACACAAGCCAAAACAATTTGCTTCTCCTTTGCCATTTGTGTTTCTTTGTTCTTATTTTGTCTTGATTTTGATTGTTTATGCCCTTGCTCTCAGAAAGAGTCCTTCGAGGAGCCTGGGTGTGGACGTCTGACGTTTAATCCCAGGCCTCTCAGGACATCCGAGTGGCAGCTTCGGCCATCTGGCTTTCCAGCAGCCACTGCTGGGCCTGGCCTCTGTGTGTTCTCTCCCTGTTTTGTGAACTTGGAGCGCAATCAGGAAGGGGTTTGATTTCCAGGTATTTATGGAGTGGGGGCCTCATGCCATCTGCCACCAAGAACGGAAGTCTCCAGATTAGTTAGGGTGGAGGAAAGGAAGCCCGGGAAGCCTCACAGCAAAAGGAGGCTGGGGTGAGCTTCCCTGCCGGATGTGTTGAAGGACGGGTAGGTGCGGGGCGCCAGGGGACTGGTTCAGATTTGCAGGGTTATAGCAGCTGTGAGAGGTGAGCAGGGTGAGAAGTCATTACGGGGCAGGGTGACAACATCAGGGCCCACTGAGTGACTAAGCATGGAGGTTTCATCCCATGCTTGCAACAATAGCAACGCAGACAATTGTAAGGAGGAATGTCATGTTTCATGCTAAATCTTTCCAGACTGAACAGCAAGGACAGTCATTTTCCACGCCTTCTCGGGGACGTGGGCCACGCCCCTGACCCAATCCACCCTCACAGATTGGGATGGGAGAGAGAGGGCGCCCCCACGGACGCAAAGCCCCAGGCATCTTCCGGGGCTCCTTTGGTCACTTTCGTCTCTCTGCCACTTTCCCTTCCTGTTCCTCACGATTCTTGCTCCGCAGTTTCTGAGGAGCTTTTACTGCAGACAGAGCTGCCCCTGAGAGCGCGCTGGCTGAGTGTGGTGGGGGTCTCGGCCCCTTGCTGAGTGAGTGTGGTCTGTGGTTTTCCAGTCCCCGCGATGATCACGTCCTACCCCAACACCACCCTGGCCACCCAGGGCCAGAGGAAGGAGATGAGCTGCACGGCCCACGGCGAGAAGCCCATCATCGTCCGCTGGGAGAAGGAGGACAGGATCATCAACCCCGAGATGGCCCGCTACCTCGTGTCCACCAAGGAAGCGGGCGAGGAGGTGATGTCCACACTGCAGGTAAATGCATGGCTGCCGTCGGGCCAAGGCAGACTTTATCAGGAGAATGAATTGTCCTCTCACACTCGCCCGGCTCATGAAGGTGATAAACCGCAAATAACCTGCCGGAATTTATTGGTGAGGCTCCACTTCCCTTCCCTTTATGCAACAGAGATTGCAGAGGAGCCTTCAAGTAGAGCTTTATTGTAAGTGTTATTAAGAGTAACATTATTATGAACACAGCAGGGAACCCAACTGCAATAAACTGCTGAAAGTAGGGTTCTTTTCATGACAGTTAATCCTGGAGGAAAGGAAGCTTCTGCTGTGCAAGCTTTAATTTCCTACAAAAGAAAAATTGAGCTGGGCATGGTGGCACACACCTGTAATCCCAGCACTCCAGGAGGCCGGGCCAGGGGGTCACAAGTTGGGGCCTGGCCAGAGCAACTTAGGTAGAGCTTGGCTGGAAATGTTTTAAAAGGGCTGTGGATGTAGCTCAGTATGAAGGCCCTGGATTCAGTCCTTAGCACTGCTTGGGATGGGCTTTGAGACAGAAAGTACTACAGCAGAAAATATTTTTTCCATGGAAAAATACAATGTGAAAAATTCCGTCATTAATATAGGAATCACAGAGGCTGGTTTGACATGCTGAATCCTTACCTTGTTAGCACTACTGGTAATTAAATGAGCAATGGCTTCCCTGGGGGAGGGGGTGTGTTGTAGCACACGCATGGAAAACCCCAAAAGGCCCAGATGTGGATCCCTGGAAACCACTCCATCCAAGGCTCCAGGCTTGGAGGAGAAGCCTGACCCCGAGGCGCGCTGTGCTGGTCCAAGCCCTGATTGCAGTGCCGCCCCAGGATCCACAGAGAATTGTTCCAGGGCCTCACAGATGCCAACATGCAACCGTGCTGAGGGCTCTGTGTAGCATGTCATGGTGTTTGCCTAGAGCTCACACGCATCCTCCCGTATGCTTTAACCCATCTTTAGAGTACTAATGATGCCTATTCCAGGGTGGATGCGCTATAGTCGTTGCAGTTCATCGATTGGGGAACAAGGTCAGGGAAAGCTCTGCATATGTCCCGTGCGATGCAGTCTCCCCTGAATGCTTCACTCAGTTGGTTTCTTGTGTGGGTGCAGAAGCCCTGGGTTCAGAGGCCTGGCTGTGTTTATGGGTCCGTTTCTTGAGGCGTGCTTGCTTTGGGCGCTCTGAAGGTTTCCCGTGAGAGGAAAGAGAGAACACGATGTAAATGTGGGTCTAGCTGCCAACCTGACCACTGCATGCCACACCCGTCACACATGTGATTAAGGAGCTCACGGCTGACACGGCGCGTGTGCATCAGACTCACCCAGCTGCACACTCACGATCGCAGCCGGGATGTGCCTCCAGGGGCGTGTGCCGTGTGCGTGTGTGTGTGTGTGCACACGTGCGTCTGTGTACATGCTGCCGGTGAGCCGGGGCTGTAGGAAGGGTGTGTGGGCACCTTTCACAGCCCGAGCCGTCCCCATTGATCTCTGGCTCCACCACCCTGAGTTGGTGAATTTCTTTCTGCTTCCTGCCCAGATTTTGCCCACGGTGAGAGAAGACTCTGGCTTCTTCTCCTGCCATGCTATCAACTCTTACGGGGAGGACCGTGGCATAATCCAGCTCACAGTGCAAGGTAGGAAGGAGACAGCAGGCCACATGAGGACAAGGACTGTGTGGCAGCCCCAGGCACCGGCTGGCCCTGGCCACTGGGGATCCTGCCACCTGCTCAGAACACGCCACAGTGCGGGAGGTCGGTGCGAAGGCGGCATTTTGACCCCAGCCCCTCATCTCAGAGTGCAGCCTGGAAACACAGGGAACAGAGCCTTCCGGGGAACCGGCAGGGAGGAGGTGGTGGGATGCAGACAGTGCCAAGCTCAGGGCGGCCTTTCTCCATCCAGCATAGGAGTCATATAGACAGCTGGAAGGGAAGGGAATATTCCCATCTAGGGCCAAAACACGCTCTGCACTGGAGATCCCAGCAGGACAGGGACATTGAGGTCCTCGGGTCGGGTCCGCTCCGTGAGCACTGGGAAGGCCGGAAGTCTCCAAAAAGTGGAATCGCTCCTCCCTAGATGTGACTGGAAGAGAATAAATGCTTCCAAGGAAGCTGTGACCGTCACTGTGGGACGCTGACAGGTGGCGCGCGCGTGGCACACTCCGGGCTGCACTAACCCGTGTTTCTGTCACCGGCACAGAGCCCCCAGACCCTCCTGAGATCGAGATCAAAGACGTGAAAGCACGCACAATCACGCTCAGGTGGACCATGGGCTTCGACGGGAACAGCCCCATCACCGGCTACGACATTGAATGCAAAAATAAATCAGGTAAGTCCTTTATTGCCTCCAGCTTTATTTCTGCCTCAAAAAGTGTGTTCCTCTTTCTCTTTCCTTTGTGTTTTTGTCCATGAGAGCGCACCTCCTGGAGTACAAAGCTCAGGGCCCGCTTGCTTTGCACAAGGGTGTCCAGGTTTCCCGCGCCCCTTTCCTAGCAAGCAGCCAGGACCTCAGTCTGGCTCCCCACAGCCCCAGACGCGTCCTGTCCCCCGTGACCTGGGGGCAGCTACTGGCAAAACCAAGCCCCCCGCCCTTGTGACCTTTTCTACCTCGAGGCTTTGCCCCTTTCCCCTCCCACTTCCCCAGCCGAGTGACTGCCCTGTGGCCCTAGTTCAGCACATGGAGTTCGGGGCTCTGTGCCAGAAGTCTGTCATAGCCTGTGGAGACTGTGCATTGCCAAAGGCCACCCCTGCCCCTCGGGCAGCTGGCTCCTCAGCAGCCGCCTGGAAATGCCACCCCGCCGGCCGGGAATGCTCACTGCACTGCCACCCGTGCCCAGAACTAGTCAGCTGTGCCCGCTGGATGCCTGTCTTCTGGAACCCTGTGATGTGTCCAGGGAGCGTAGAATAGCACGCACGGCCTCTGTTGAAAATACTGGTGTGTCTCCTAAAAGATAGGAGGAAAGAAAGCAAGCCCTGTCCACATGCGAATGGCTAACACAATTCTTGGAAGCCACAGCAGTGGCCTTATTTTTTGCTTTCTGAGCACTGGCCTTTACTTGAGATTACCCTGCCATGACCAATTTGGTGTCATCTGAGCTGAGCTGTAGGAATGAATCAAGCTCAAGGAGTCTGGGAGAAAGCAGGTCCCGAAGGAGGGACATTTCATTAAGAGCATGCTGAAGGCGGACCAGGAACAGGGTAGTGGGGTTGCAGAGAGAGGTAGAGGGCTGGCCAGGAGGAGTCTGGAGGGCAGAACGAGGAGACGAAAAGGAGATGCATCCAGTGACGCACAGTGGTTTAAAAAGAGAGTCTGAGACACCTGGGTTGGACGGGCACATAAGGAGATACCCCCCAGAAAGGGCAGCGGGACCCCAAGGGGCACCGTCACTGGCCAAGTGGTAGAGCCAGCACCAAGCTCACGGGGACCCAGTGACTTGGCTGAGCCCACCCAAGACGGTGCTGACCCAAGCAGGGGCTTTGGAGCCAGAATAAACGGACCCCACGTGGCAGGGGGCACGGCCTATCCTCCCCTTGGCAAGCACTGGGACTGCCCATACCCTGGGGAGTGGGGTCACAGTCCCCAGGGAGGGCCCCGGATGCTGAGACCTGGCCTGTCCTGGGCCTGCTGCTGGCCTGGCTTCTTCCCAGAGACCCCTCCCTCCTTGGCCCCAGCTGTCCTGTGCTCGGAGGGCTGCATCTCGAGTTGGTCCTAGCAGGCCCCATAACCTAGACTCGCACGTGCACCTCTGTACACATGAATCCGTGTGTGTCCCCTCTACCAGCCCACATGCTTTCTGGGGGCCCCTGGGCCTGGTAGATCCGTTCCAACTTCCGACCAGTTTTTCAGGACCTAAGGCTCTTGCTATCTGGTGAACGCTTGCTAAGAAGGGAATAAAACCTCTTACTCATTGCAGTGCACATCCAGCATCCAATAGGAGGGGCCATTCTGTCTCCGCTCACTGCTTGCTCACCACTTAAGAAACCTCAGCGCACACCCTCCACACACCCATACTTTTCTGCAAGGCTGCCAAAGGCAAAGGCTCCTAAATCTTGTGCCTTCGGATCCCAGGCCCCTAGCACACTGTCTGGCATGGAAAAAATGTATAGGTTGAATTTACACGCAATTAAAATCTAAAAATTGTGCACAAGAGCGGCAGCATCTTGAAGTGTAGAAACGATCAGGATCCACATAACCAGGTAGAAAAGCTGCTGCCCGTTCTCCGAGCACTGTCAATAGCAAGAACCTCGTTCTCCACTGTGGGGCCAGGGCTGGTGTGAGGCTGAGGGATTTATGGAGCCTGGAGCAGCACTTGAAGGAGCCAGGGAGAAGCCTGGGGGAGAAGGCCAGGGACAGGCGGGCTGACTCCGTGGCTGAGGTCTGCACCAGGGGCCTGCAGAACTGTGTCCCTCCAGGCTAGGAAGACCCGGGAGGAAGGAGCCACACTGCTCTCAGGGCAGAAGGGGTGTGTTGTTCACATCTTCCTGGACTAGTTGATTCCTTAGTAAGTTTGAGGGGGGTAAAAATTGTAATCATCATTTTAGCGAATGCAGTTTGTGGGCTGGGCGCCTAGAAAACAGGGCCTTCAAGCTACAGTTTCCAGGTCTTCTGTCCAGGAAACCCTCCCCGACCACCTGTCCCCTCCTCTACCATAGTGTCCTCTGCACCTTCGACACTGCTCGGGCCCAGGACTGTTTAGTTAGCGTCTACCCCTGCTGAACAGTCGTCCCCTGGGGGCCTGAGTGGCCACTGAGGACAGGGACTGCCCAGCCCGGTGTCCTGCAGACCACTCGCACTCATGCCAGACCTCAGCACATGGTAGCTGAAAGGCTGACTCTCTGCCCTTGTTAAAGGCCATGTTGCATTCGTCCCCACCGAGATGCTTTCTTCTATTTCCTGTCAGCTGGCTCCAGATGCAAAATATTAGCAACACATTACAGGGCTTCCTGCTCCTAGCATCGCCCAGGCTGGTACAGCCCCAAAGACAGGAAGCGCGATTCCACCTCCAGCAGCTACAACCCTTACAGTTTTCCCTCAGTGCCACCAGAGTGTTCTGAGTGCTCCAGTGGCCCTCGTCCCACCCTGGGCCCTCTGGGCTCACCCCCCAGTGCCCAGGACTCAAACACAGATGTGCGGCCTTGGTTTTCAATTTGCCAGGAGAAACGTGGCCTCCCAGGTCCCTCTCCTGCCCTCTCCTGTGACCATCTCCTGCTCACTCTGGCCACAACACAAGGGCGGAAGCCCAGCGTCCCCTTCCCGTTCCTCAGCCTGCAGCTTGCTGTCTCTGCTTCCTCTTTCCCTTCTTTGGGAAGGCTCTGTCTCCTTTCCTGGTGCCTCACGGGTCTCTGACAGTGTCAGCTCCGGCGTCCTGGGATGTCACCCTGCTGTGGGAGGGACGGCAGGCTCGCCTGTGCAGGCCGAAGCTGTCCCCAGCCTTCTCCTCTCCGGAGCTTCCGCCCACCCACTCCTGCACGCCCAAGCACTGTCTCCCCAGCTGAGGCCGCTTCGGTGGCAGGGCTTCCCCTGTGTCCCTGTGTCACTGCTCTGGGCCTGGGCCCCCTTCACTCTAAACCTGCCTCGCACTCCTGCCTCAGAATTTCCGCTCGCCCACACACCCACATGCGCTGCTCTGTGGCCTCTTACAGCCTCTCTTCAGAGCGGCCGCACTCTGACCTTCGTCCTTGACAGCTGTGTGCTGTGGACTCGAGGGCTGCCTCTGAGCTGGGGCCCGCTCACCGGACCTGTGGGCACCCTGCTGTTCCTCCCATGGGTACTCAGGGTTGTAGAAACAGCAGTGAGCTAGCTCTCAGCTCTCCACCCTCTCCTCCCATGGGGCTCTCCAGGGCATGGCTGGAAACCCTGCCTACTTTTCAATAAACACTGCTTGCGACTCCTTTCCAAACCAGGCCACGAGTCTGACCCCCGTGGCCCTCCCAGGCTTACTTCCTGCAAACCCATACATGGAAAAACTACCCACTACCAAAATTCCCCTTTTGTACCCAACCAAGCTATTTCTCTGCCCTGCTCCTCCTTATCAGAAAGCCAAGCCAAGAGCTCGTCAGAGGTTGTTCTCGAGCACATCAGACCTCGGGCAGTCAACAGAAATGCTGACATCCAACTCATTGAGCATTGTCAGAGACCCAGCAAATGTCTTCTGCTGCAGGAAAAGGACTTTGAACTTGGGGTCATTCGGGTGGGGTCAGATCCGAGTCCCGCTTCTTGCCCAGTGCAGGGGAGGGCCTGAGCTCCTTGACTTTCACACTGAAAATAAAAATCCCTGCATTGGCTGTGAGAATTGGATCAAGTATGACATCCTTCCCAGCTGTCTGTCCGTCGTGTGATCCGGGCACCACTGAAGTAGCATGTCAGACATCCCTGAAGATTCCACCGTGCTGCCCACTTGGGGATCACAGACCCCACACCGTGCGAGGCGAGGCACAGCACCCCAGGTGGGAGGAGGCAATTGCACATCGAACTGTAATACATCGGAACGATGTGGGTGGACAGACTTCCTAGAAGATGCGCCTGGAGATGTAGGAGTCCATGGAGGCGAGTTGGAGTGGGAGTGTTTGGAGGAGGCCGCAGACCAGAAGGGACGAGAGTGGCTCTGTGGGGACATCTGACAGGCCCGCTGGCCCGGGGGTGGGCACGGTCTGCAAACACAGCCAATGCAGCATCAAGGAGTCACTCCGGGAGTCCCTCTGAGAAGGAAACTATTCTGGAGGCGTGGGCCGGCCCAGAGGAACTGCAGGGGCTGGAGCTGAGCTCTTGGGACAGCATGATGCAGAGCTGGCCCTTCCCCGCGTTGGTCCGCATGGGCTCGGATGGTGGGAGCAGGCAGTGGGCACTCGGCCGTGTGCAGCTTCTGGCTCCCGGCCTGGTCCACGCCCAGACTGGGCCGGCCACACCTGCAGTGCAGACACCTGGGCCTTCCACAGCCTGCGAGTCCTTGAACTTCCCCAGCTCCCGCGCGGAGCCCTTGCCCAGCACAAGCGGCTTATCGCAGGCTTCTGTGCCACGTGCAGGGCCAGCCTCCTCCCGGGCGTCCCCAGCATCTTCTTCTGAAGACCTGGCTTCCTCTCTGGAGGACAGGCCCATGTTTATGTGCCTTTCCGTTGACAGAGACCTTTTCCCACATTCTCCTCCTCCGCGTCATGCCGCTCTGGCCCGCATCTTCTCTTCTCCGGCATTGTTCCTCACCTCCAGCCCTCTGGACACAGGGGAGCTTGCTTCTCCCTGCAGTATCTGCACCCCACGGAGCGAGAGCTCTCCGCCACAGTCCTGATGTCACACACTTGTCCTTCGAGTCTCTGAAGTCTCTTGAAATCATGTCTCTGTGGGACAGAGCAGCTCCCTGCCGCGCTCCTCGCCAGTGTGACAAGTGCGTGGCCCGTTCCCACGGCCCTGAGCCCCGAGGATTCCCACCCGCCTTCGCCCATGAGGCGCACGTGCATCCCTGGCCACTCCTGCCAGGCTGTGCCATGTGGGCACTGAGCACGGGGTGTGGCGAGGGCCGTTCTGTGCCCTTGTGGCACCTAAGGCAGCAGGGCCAGCAGGGTACCCTGGAAGGACTCGAGTTCTGTGGAGCATCCTAGGAGGGGACCGGGGAGTGGGGCCTCAGAAAGTGTCACCCCCACCACTGTCCTGGCGGCTCCTTCTCCTTCCACACCAGCGCCCCCTTACAACCCCTCCCCAGCCAACAGCTGCCCAGACCAGCGGAGAACCACTCTGCACCCTGACCCTGGTGGAAGTGCCCGCCTGCGCAGTCCCAGCCTGGTGCCGCCCCTCACACCAGGAAGGAGCCACTGACCTCCAGATTAGCTGTGGTTGAAATGCAATGCCAAAAACAAAGGAGTGGGCGGGGGCTGACTGATTTCCAAAAATTGGACTTGATAAACGCTGTTGGTTAGCAGTGATCCTCCTGGTGGATCCTCCTGGTTAGGAGTGATCCTCTCGGCTTTGTGTGGAGCTGTTTCACCCCCTGCGGCTGCAGGTGTGGCCAGGTGTGGCATGTCCGCAGGCCCAAGGGTGTTAGCAGGCAGACCGGGTCCCAGACACAGGGTGTCTCAGGGCTACGGCCAGTGGGTGCTGCCTGGGCTCCCCACTTGCTCCATCCCTGGTTTCCCTGGCTCGCCCCTCCCAGAAAGCAGCTCCCCGAAGCCCCAAGCTCCTGCGGTGTGGACATTCACGTGGGATTTCCCGCCCCTCTGCTGGCCGGTGTGCCAGCCAGTGGGGAACATTGCATTGCAAAAACTAATCTCACTGGTTGTAACTTTTTCCTTCTTTCCTTCTTTCTTTCTTTTTAAAATTCCTGCTGTGAACTGTCAAAGGCAGAGGAAAAAAACTCACCTCTCTATCTCTTCTTTTTTGAAAAACAAAACCCAAAAGACTCCTGGGATTCTGCTCAGAGAACCAAAGATGTTTCCCCTCAGCTGAACTCGGCCACCATCATTGATATCCACCCTTCCTCCACCTACAGCATCCGCATGTACGCCAAGAACCGGATCGGCAAGAGCGAGCCCAGCAACGAGCTCACCATCACGGCAGACGAGGCCGGTAGGTGGGGGCCGGGGCTCCGGCGGCAGGCAGACCCCTGCCCAGCGGGTGGGCTGTGCTCCACCGGGTCGCCAGCGTGCCATCTTCCCACCCCAGGTGCTGCTCCGAGGCAAGGCAGGCTCACAGTCAGGCACAGCTCAGGGTCCCGCCCTTTCCCCACCTCTGGGTGCATGGAAGCCACCCAGCAGGAGGACCACGCAAGACCCAGTGTGGGCAGGAAGGGAAGGATGTCTAACAGGAAACAGCAGAACTGTGCTCTGTGCACTGGGTACAGATCAATTCCTAGACAGCACCGTCAGTATTTTAGAATAGTCTTTATTGTCCTTGTGCCACCTCTAAAGGGTTTATATCTGATGTTGAAAATCTCAAAGCTAGAGATAAATATGTTGAAGAAGGCAAAGCAGCTTCCTCCGTCCGCCTACCTACAGCTAAGCTAGGCCGTGCTGCAGAGCTTCTCAGTTGCTTTGGTGACCTGTTTGATGGCAACATGTGTGCTCACACATGCTCACGCATCCGTGCACACAGCCAGCACACACATGTGCAGAGCCCGCACTTGGTGAGCCTGGCTACGGGGCAGCGGGGGATTAACCAGAGGGCTGAGCCGTCAGGCGGTGATGGAGCGACGCTGACTTCCAAGCCCAGCCCCACAGGACGGAGGGCGACTCTGCCTTTAGCCTCCCTAGGAGGGAGACGGAGCCATCCCCGGGTGGCTGAGGGCCACACCCGGGGGGGTTCCACGTCCTCCCATGCCTCCTCCCCAGGCGCGCTCAATGCTGCTCTGAACAGCTCTGAGCATGCACGTCTCTCGACAGTCCACATCTCCTGTCATTTATTTACTAAGTCTATACCTCAGCCATGTCGTTTGTTTCCAGATTTTATTATTATAAAGTAATGAACTTCCTGTGGTATTTTTCTTACTACCATTCCCAAGATTATTTTCTTGTGTTAAATTCTAAAAATGTGGAATCACTGGATCAAATCGAATGCACCATGTTTTCATCCTTTCGCTATGCCGACATTCCCCGGGAAGGAATCAGTTTAAGTGCAGTCTCCCTGGGAGAGGTGCGCCCGCCTCTCAGCGTAGGGCAGCTACTGTCCTTGAACTTTGCCTTCGAGGGTGGCGAAGTTCAAGAATGCCTTTATGTGTCAGCGTCTGGGCTGAGCCATTTCTGGTACTCAGACAATCTCTGTGTGATTTCTCACCTGCAAAATGCCCAGAAATGATGTTCTCCTTACACACCCATATCTGATCACTGAAAAAGAAATTCCAAGCTCTAAATAAACTTTAGATTTCTCAGAAATAAGTGGGAAATGAGTGTTCCTCTGTTCCTGCAAAAATAGAATTTTATTTAAATATTTATCCAAACAACTTGCTGATCCCATCCTGGGATTTCATCATGCGGGGCAATCAGGAGCATAAGCGAGCCCACCCTCAGCCCCATAGGGAGCTGTGACCCCGTGCTCAGCGTCCTCCTTCCTCTGAGCCCCTTTCCAGCCCTGCGTCTTGTCTTCCACACGCATCTCAGGGCAGCTGCACTGCGCTTCCTGGGGCTCTTCCGAGCCCTGCTGCTGTCGCTGCTTCCCTTCCTCCTCTGTGACCTCCTTGGCAGCTGCCAGTTGCCATGGCAGCCAGGAGGCCAGGTGAACAGCCCTGAAGCCGGGGGCAGGGCCGCTGCCCGCCATTTCTGCCGCCGGAGGCCGCCTCTCTGGGTCCCCGCTGCCCTCTTGGATTTGAATGGGGGAGGGGGGGCTCAGCCTCTCTCGTCAGTCCTGAGGCGCTCAGGGAAATGGAGGAAGGGAACAGGCTTGGGCGAAGCAGAGCTGCGCAGCAGAGCCGGTCTCCGGTGGAGCGGAGGCTGGCCGGACTGAGAGCACGGGTCCTGTCCCGTGTGCGACCCCAGCCCTCAGGGCCAGCTGCAGCCACCGCTTCCAAAGCCACTTCCCGGAGCCGCCATCTGGGGAGCTGTCGCCATCTGAAGCGACCTTTCCCACCCTTACTTCACTGCTCCCTTTCCCCCCAAAGAAGCGGCCGCCCCTCCAGCGGCGAGGGTGAGGTGGGAGCTCCGGCGGCTGCAACCTCCCACTGTGGCAGGATCGGGTGCCCACGCAGGACAGAGCTTCAGTCCGTTCTCGCCCCTTCCCCTCCTGTCCCTCCTCTCTCCACCTGTGAATCCCTTTCCGGTTTGAGAACGATCCATCTCCCTACTTCCTGTTATCTTTTATTTTGCTCTTTATTTACACTTTGGGTTTCTCATGTAAGAGAAACTATGTGATAGTTAAGCTTGTGTGCCTGATTTACTTCACTTAACATTATGGTCTCAAAGTGCATCTGTTTTCCTATAAATGATTCCGGTGTGTCCTTCTTTATGGCAGAGTAGTACTCCACAATGTGTAAATACCGCATTTGCTTTATCGCTTCATCTGTTGATGGACGTGTAGGCTGCTTCCGAGCTTTAGCTGCTGTGAGTTGTGCTGCTGTAAACATGGGTTTGCCTATGTCATGGCAGTGTGATGTCTTTAACTCCCTTGGGAAGATAACTAGAGGAGAACAGCTGGGTTGAATGGACTTTCTAGTTTGGGTTTTTTGAGGAATTTCCACACTGATTTCCACAGTGGTTGCACAAGATTACAGTCTCACCCAGGGTGTAAAGGGTTCCTTTTCCCCCCACAGCCTCACAATTTTTAAAACCTAGAAAGTTCACTTCAGAGTCTTGAGTGTCCCTTGAGTTCCTACCCGGCAGCTGGAGTGCAGTGTGAGACACGGATCCCCTTGGGGCTCAGCCCTAGGTGCCATTGTGGCTGCCCTTCCTTTCCCAAAGGGTCAGCAAGCTGCAGCCTGTGGGTCACATCTCACCTGCAGGGCCAAGGATAGTTCTTGCATCTTAAAAAGATGGAGAAAACAGGCTTGGGACTGCACCTGGCCCCGAGGAGCCTGAAATATCTGCTATGTGGCCCTGGTCAGAAACAGTCTGCCGTTGATTTCAGTCTTGCCACCAGGGAAATTTGAGTTTGGGATCTGCAGTGTGAAGCTTCCAGAAGCAGAAATCACTGTCCTTTTACCCAGTTTCCCAGCACCACAGCACCGAGTCTGTTTCTTATGGGAAAGTGCATCAATGTATTATCATAGCACTTAAATATACTTGACGGCAGAGAGCAGCCAGACAACAAAGATCACAACACTTAGCGCTTTCTTCTTGACGCCCTGAACAACCCTTCGCCCCCAAAAAGAAGTCAGGAGAGTAAGTGGAAGTCGTGTCCTGGTTACGGACCGAAGTGTGTCGGGTTTCCAGGGTCTGGGCGACACGGATCAGCAGGTCCCTGCCGCACATGATCCTCTCCAAAGACCAAGCTCCCCATTAGCAGCTGCACTCGGAGGCCGAGTGTCTCCTAGTGCCGTGCCATGCTGTGTGAGCGAGAGCAGAGCTGCCAATCCTCCATGGTGTCCATTAGGAATCTGTACACCGAGTGTGAGAGTCCAAGTATGCACGAGTCTGCTGAAATAGCCCTGAACTTCCACAAACCACTGCAGGACAGAAGGTTTGAATTTCAGAGAGCTCTCAGCACACAGTCACTGGGGTCCCCGATGGTGGGCACTGATTAGAACCTCATGAGAACCAGGCTACCCCGTACCCCTGGAGCCTTCAGCAAGCCGCCTCTGCAATTGGCTGCCCTTCTTTATTCGGTTTGGGAAAACTTTGGAAATTAAGCCTGAAGAGAGAATCAGCCTCTTTGCTCTTCCTCATACACCGTGGCGTACTGCGGGCTCTCCGGGATTGTTCTGGAACGTTCTACAGTGCTTTTCCCCTTCTCCCTCCACCCTTTCAAGGCTTTGCTCAGATATCTTCATCCCAAACACCCTATTAAAATGCCACCCACTCCCTATTCTAGCCTGCTTGGCCCTCTCCCTCTCTGAACACTCTTTTTTTAAAAGAATAGCATGTATCAATATCCAAAATACCATGCAGGCTTTGAGTTTTCATCTGTGATCTATTTCTGGTCTCCTCCCATATGGACAGGAAGTTGTCTGCTTTGTTCACTGATGGCACCTGGGACAGTTTTTGGCATCATAGGTACTAAATAAATACAGTTTAAAGGAAGGAGTCCTTGTTTATAAATGACAATTTGATGCACCCAGCCTTTCTTCATCTGGGTGTCAACTGTTTTGTTTGGCTTCTTACTAAACCCTGTCTTGGCTCTGTTTGCTTCTCACTCACCAACGTCTATCAAAGGTGAACATAGGATGAAATCACACAGAGGCTCCCTGGTCCTTTTAACCTACTTTTGCATACCAATCCTTGCTTTGATTAGAACCCAGCACACAGTAGGCCTTCAGTCAATTTCTCAGCAGGAAACCAGGGTTAGGGTTAGGAGCGATTGCTGGCAGGGTGGCTGGGGCCAGTTGGATAAATAATCAGGCCCAGGGCCACATCTGAGCAGGAGAGAATGTCGTGGGAGTAGAATGAAGGCCTGAGACTTGCATCTTGTTGTCCTTTGGGAGGAACAGCGGCTGTGGGGCAGCAGGAGGCTCTGTGGGTGGTGGATGGAGGATGCAGAGCAGCCAGTGGCCCTCAGTAGAGGGAGGGGAGCGAGCAGACAACATGGATTTGGGAACTAGAGGATTTGCCATTACTATATTTTCAGCCGAACAGAACTGGTCAAAGCTGCCCTGTCTTTCTAACAGTGTTTGAAATGTTACATACAGTGTTTTGCACACTGGACAGTTTTGATATCTGTAGAAATGCAGAGATTATTTGTTCTGAAAAAATCCATTCACGGTTAATCTTTACTTCTAGAATTCTCCTCCTGCGGGAGAAAGCCAGGTATTTTAAGCTAAAAACCAAAATGAAAAATAAAACCTCTATGCTTTCTATATATATATTACAGCTTCAATTTGGCAGCACATAGTAAATTCTTTAATGGCAAATGTCAGCGCAATTTTCAGATTTATTTTATATACAGAAATACCTAGAGATTGACCCTCAGCATTTTAGCCTTGGGCATTTAGTACACCTTGGGTTGTCATTTTACAGAAATCGTCTACAATGAGGTGAGGACCCATGGAAAATGTCACCATTCAGGGTCTTTCTGGACAGCGCTAAAATTCTGAAAGGACCCTAATTCTTCTTACAATTTAAAAAGGGTTTTTATGATGTTTTAGGACTTGTGACAGAAAATACAGTGCTGTTTGCAAAAAACAAACAAAAAGCCTTTCTAGTTCTATTGGGGATAGCCCTGAGGCGTACATGTAGATCATCATCATGATTCTGGTAATGATGATTTTTGGAAAGCTTTGTTTGGACGAGTCTGTCGTTTTATTTTTCAGTAGAAGAGAGATCCATGTGAACAGGTAGATCCATAAATGAGTTATTAACAAGCCACCGAAGCACTGCCAGGCTCAGGAATTGGGGTGTTATGACACAATAATAGCAAGTGCAGCCCTGGACATGGGGGCTGTTTGCCTACTGTTGCACTGGGGCCTTCCTGATGTCCTCCGAGAGGGCGGGGTGTCTGCACTCTGCTGAGGAAGGAGCCAATCAGGTTTAAGCTTGCTTTCTTCCAGCAGGAAGTCACCCGAGGCCTCCCCACCACCCGCTGCTCCCTCCCCGGCTGGTCTGGAGGCCCTGTCCCTCCCCAGCCTCTGATCCTGCTTCTGTCCTCAGCCAGCACAGTGTTCCTTTAAGCTGGCCTCTTCCTTCTGTCACCGGAACCTCTCCCTTTCTTCCCCCTGTTCACCTGTATTTACTGGGAACATTATTTTCATAACAACCCAACCATATATATGATGTCCCATGGCATAGAGAAGGAAACTGAGTCACAGAGGTTACACAACATGCAAAGAGTGACATAGCTCACAAGTGCCAAAGCCAGAATTTGAACCTAGGCAGGAGATTTAAATGCTCACGGGCTGAGAGACAGCATGATACTGCTCAAAACGTCCTTTCTTTTTTTTAAATAAGAGGGCTCCTCTTGCCCCTGGTTCCCTCTTCCCATGGCTGCTCCGTCCACCCTTTCTCTTTACCCTGCCCACATGTCCAGCCTTCGCCGTTACTTCCTAGTCCCTGCCTCTGTGTCCTCTTGGCCCGTGCCACTCAGCCCTCTGCACCCCGGCCTTTCCAGGATCACAAAACTGACTCCTGTGCAGTTCAGCAGTGATCTCAATGCTGCTGTTAATCCAAAAGAGCCCCCTTCCGGCTCTCCTACCCCTGAATTTTCCCTTCTCAGGAGACACTGGTACAAGCCCCTGGGGGCTGCCTTCCCACTCATGGGATTATGAGCTCTCAGCTGCAGAGATGCTTTCTGTCTTTGGTCTACACTGTGCACCACTGTGAGGTGCATTTCCAGTACGCACCAATGGATGCTAAGCAGGACACAGCTGGGATTGTTGCTCGGGCACCCTGACTTAACCACGCCACCTGAGAAGTGAGTTGCTGTGAGCTGAACACTTTGTTTTCCTCTTCAACTTTGCTTTCTCAGTGAGCTCCTGGCTCACAAGAGTTGTCAGATGAAAGAGTGGAGAACTAACTGATCTGAAAGACCCCAAAGTCAGGGGAGTCCTGGCCCCCCATAGCTCTGAGGACCTTGAGGAAGCCAAAACCACATCACAAACAAAGCCTCCCTGGGCTCCTCCTCCTCAGCACGCATGGCATAGGCAGACACACATTTTGTCTTGCAGCTTCCTGCGTTGCTCCTTAACTTGCTGAACCTCAGGTTCTTGAGTGGATCCTGGAAGGCATGCAGGGAGGAGCACAGTGACCATCCCAGGGATCTTCCACAGGGTACACGTTGTACACAGGGACTCATCTGTCCTCCGGTGCTGGCCACCTGCCTCTCTGCACCTGCATCTGTTTTGTGCCTTGCAGCGAGCCCTGGAAGCCCCTTCTAACCTGTCTGTGGTCTTGGCCCTTACAGCTCCTGATGGTCCACCTCAGGAAGTCCACCTGGAGCCCATGTCGTCCCAGAGCATCAGGGTCACCTGGAAGGTAAACCAGTCAGCATTTGTACTCCTGACACCTTGCCCACGGGTGGGGCTTTTACCCTCTTGTTAAGTGGTGTGATACCAGGACATTAGCTTTGCTTTGTGGAAATCAGATTGCTAGCCCTTTGCCTACATTTCAGCACACCCGTGTATTGCTTGATGACCAGAATCGCTATGGGAAATGTGTCTTTAGCTGATGCCACCATTTGTGTGAACATCGTCGAGCGTGATTACTCAAACTAAGATGACCCTGGCATCACCAGGCAACCATCACCATGGTCAGTGCGGCCCGTCATTGACCAAAATGTGCCTATGAGACCTTTGAGGATACTCGTATCCCCATTTGAATTCTTTTACAGCAGATTCTGTACCGACAGAGAATGAAGCTGCTGATTATTACAGTGGCACCTCCGTTCACGAACTCAGTTCTCTCCACAATTCTGGTCACAAACCACACTGGACAAGAACTGAATCAAATTTTTCCACAAGGTCAACATTGAACCTAACCGTTGAATTTGATTCAGTTCTCGTCCAACTTGGTTTGTGACCAAAATCCTGGAAAGAATCGAGTTTGGGACCCAAGGTGCCACTGTATTGTTGTTGTTGTTCTTTGGATGTGGTCAGAGTGGTCAGAACCTGTCTCCATGTGATATCCCTCACTCTGCTCTTTGATTTCACCCCAGCAGACTCTTTTCTCTAATCCTGTCTCTTAAGTGGCAAAGCCCAGTGCAGGAGGTAGTGCACCAGGCTGGGCCCCTAGCGAGCTGTGTCCTCAAGAAAGCCCCTCCGCTTCCTCCCCAGCAACATGCGCTGTGGAAGCGGCCATGTCCCCGGGCTGTGTCCCCACCTGTAGATGGCCACCACTGCAGATGGGCCACGGGGAAGCTCCATGCGTGCCACCGTTCGTTGGTAGGGAGGAAGTATGCTGAGCCCAGCAGACACGGCCTCCGGGCAGTCTTCCTCCTGAAGGAAGCGGTGCTGACCTGAATTCTGGGGCCACTTGTCACCAGCCAGCTCTTTGGGCCACCCGCTGGTGAGAGTATCTTGGGGCTCAGTCATCTGCGTGGCCAAAGTCCGCTTTCCCTGCAGAGCTGCGCTTCTCCAGCTCTGGGTTTCTTCCACTGCACGTGGCCTTTTCCGCCTTCCCTCTTGCCTCTCCCTTGCTGTTGTGTTCCTACCCAGAGAAGGCAGCCAAGAGCCATTGTGAGGCCCTCAGATCGGACCTGTAACCCTTGCAAACCCAGGCCAGGGCACCTTCGTGTGCGTGCGTGCGCACGTGTACCTGGGAATGCTTTCCTCCTAGGCCAGGCTCTTTCATCATTGACCAGTGTCTGTAATAAACTCAGTTTCATGGTTAGGGTGGAGCCCCTGCCTCAACAGGAACGCAGTTCATCCAGTGAGCCCCTCGACCATGGTCCTCTAGCCTCCGCTGCTGTGTTTGCAGTGGGCGTCTGGGGAGTGAGTGGAGGGACCACCTGTCTATGGGTGAGCGCTTCCTCCTGGTGAGCATCACACACCATGCACTAGAAGGCACAAAACAAGCTGTGGCCCATGTGCATCCCAGCCATGCAGCAAACACAGAGCACTCACTCGGGCCGTTGTGAGTTAGAGACTGTGATGTTTCTCCTGCTCGCTCTGCATGTTTTCTCGCATTTTGCTGCTGAAAAAGACCAAGGATCACTGTGGCCTCGAAAACTTTCTGGGTCCTGCGTGATAAATGTGTCTGCCGCAGAGCATGCAGGTCAGAGGTGAACCGGAAACTTCGGTGGCACTCAGGGGCATCTTCCCGTAGAAAGCAGCAACAAGGAAACAAGTTGGAGCTGCACTTTCTCTTGGTGCTAAAAGGGTGAAGGTGTCCTGGCTGTGAGAGCGAGCCTGGCTGTCCCCAGATGGGGACCTGGTTGCACCGTGCTATGCTTTGTCACAGTGCAACCCACAGATGGGCTGGTGATCAGCTGCCTGAGGGAGGGCACCACAGCCGGCCCTGTTGGTGTCATCGACTGCACGGGTGTCACTAATGCAGCCAGACTCACGGATCTGTGAGGAGCAGAGCATGGAATCAAAGATGCCCATGTTTCAAGGCATAAGAATTCATGAAAATTTCATGTGAGATGGCTGATGAGGAAGGGGAAGAAAGGAAGATGTAAGAAAAGTCAGAGGCGGCATCAGCTGCAAGAAGAGCCCAGGAGAGTCGGCTGGGGTGGCAGGAAGCCCAGGGTAGGACTCAGGCACTGTCACAGAATGACTGATCTGCCGAGGGCTGATCAGATCCTCAGATAACTGTAGGGGGAATGATGGGGACTAAAGAGAAACAGACAATATTCCAGGCACAAGGGGATCAGAAGGATCCTGCCTCTAGTGGACAGGCTCAATAATCTCCGCAGTTGACCCACTTTTATTAGCAAGCAAGAAGCACAGGGGTAAGGATAGTGTACTTTTCATGGAACAGCAAGGTCAGTAAATGTGTAACTAGTGAATGGGGAGCAAGTTAACAGGGAACAGGTCCTTCCCTACACCCGATGCCTACATTCTTTGTATTGTCCTCAGCAGACATCATCTTGTCCTAGGAGCGCTGTGTTTGTGAGCTTTGTACACACAGCCAGGAAGCCTGTGGTTTTCCATTAACTTCCCTGTTCCTAAGGCAAGTTACATTGGCCTCAGACCCTACGGGACCCAAGTCACGTAGCCTGGTCCCCAACACTGACCAGAAGACAAAGAGGCACTGGATGGAGGGAGAGGGGAAGCGGAGGAGAGAACAGCTGTGGGGTTTGCCCAGGAAAACACCTGTGCCAGATCCAGCCGACCTTCTGTCACCCTGGACATAGACAGCAAACTTAACTGTCCTCATGTAAGGAGCACTTCTGAAACAGCACCTCTTATCGAACAAAATCAGCTCCTTTTTATTTTAGCTAATTTTTTTTTCACCAAAGAGAAGTTTCAGATTTAAAATGTTTCAAGTCTGACAAAGGCTGCCCATCGTGTACAGAATGCAGACCAACCCCACAGGACCCTCCAGACCCCCCACATCAGGCCATGACCCCCAGCACAGGGTCTGTACATCCCAAACGCAATCCCTAAGGCCTCTGCCACATGTAGTGTCTGTGGTACCCAGGACGAAGATGCAGATGCGATTCCTAAGGACTTTCCTTATTGACTTAAAGACGCAAAGTGCGCTTTCACAGGAGAAGGGACCATGCAAGCATGTCTGAATGAAATGAAAATAATCACATGGCATTGAAGATTCATCCTCTGACTCCTACACCAGGCCCCTGCAAAACAAAGGGGTTTGCATAGTGCACACTGTTTACTTTACATAGTTTGTTTCTGATTCAAACTCAGAAATGTAAAACTATAAATTGCTGAGAATGTATACTTGACACCATACCTGAAAATCATGCAACTAAAGAATTGCTTGTTTTTTCAGAAAATTCTGTTTTTATCCTGCAGCAGTACCTGTCAGCTTGTCTTATGGTCAGTGTCAGAATCATTTGTCCTCTTTGTGTACAAAGGAAGGACAGTTTGATTGCTGGTCATTTGCCCGTGTGTGTGTGTGTGTGTGTGTGTGTGTGTGTGTGTGTGTGTACATGCACACGTATGCCACAGTGACTCATAAAATAAAACTTTCATTATTTGTAATATTTAATTATTATAGGCATCTCAAAACTTTTATCCAGAGGTTGTAATGGGAGGTGGAGAACTTTTCTATTGATGTAATATTTTGTTGTTGTCTTGTTTCAAATGAGAAATCTTTGTAAAATTGTAGATTGTCCTAAAAATGTAGTATTTTCACTTGTTCATTACTATGGTGCTGAGACCTATTGTCAAGATGATGCTGAGAGTAGGGCCCTGGGAAAGAGTTTCGTGTTTCCCAGACCCCTGATACTGAACGCTCACTGTTCAGCAGAAAATTGTGTTTAGAATGAGCGGCATTTTCATTAAAACTATAGAACGGAAGGAGGTATGATCTCTGTAACATCAAACGGGAGCATTTAGGGACTTAATTAAATTCAGTAATCTGAAGAGCACGTTTAGCCAGTGTGGACACCTCCGCGCCCCCCCCCCCACTGCTTTTCAGGGCATCGTTATCACCCACTGCATTCTGCAGATGCGTCTCTCGGGAGAAGACGCTTGGTCTCCCACTGCCAGGGACCTCCGGAGTAATGTTTGAAGACACTGCAGGCTCCACTGCATGCCTCCATTTTGGGTTTGCTTGTATGGAAATAACAGAAGAATTCAGGGGGCTGGTCCTTACTCACTTGCTTGGGTTTGTTTTTGTTTTTGCAGTACTGGGGATTGAACCCAGGGCCTTTGCACTGAGCTACATCCCAGCCCCTCTGTCTTAGTTACTTTTCTCATTGCTGAGAGAAAATACCTGACACCCAGAGTTAAAGGGGGAGGGGTTTATTTGGCTCACAGATTGTAGAGGTTTCAGTTCCTAGTCAGCTGGCCTCGAGGCAGGGGCGGCACATGGCAGAGGGGCCGCAGTTCATGGCGGGCAGACGGTAGCAGAGCGAGCAAACAAATGAACAAAACAAGCCTCTCTCTGTTCCTTACATTGTATCCGGGCTACCAGGATTAGGGTGGTGCTAAAGCAATCAGTGGATGATTTAGGAATCACCCACCCTTAATCCTAGGACCCTTAATCCTAGCGTTGCACCATGAATCAATCACATAAGCCAGATCCAGCCACCTCTGAAAAAGCCCCACCTATGGCTGCATGAGGCTTTGGGGAGGACACCTTCTTTATGTTTTATTCTGAGACAGGGTCTCACTAAGTCACTAAGTTGCCAGGGTTGGGCTAGAACTTGCAACCTTCCTGCCTCAGCCTCCCACAGTGCTGTAATTACATGTGCACCTCACTCTTAGAAGTAAGAATTCCAAAGAAGGAAAATAGAGCAGGGGATGCACTGTGTGGCTTCACCAGTCTGCAAGAAGACGTTTAGCCACCCTCGGGCCATTCCGGGGGTCAAAGCTGCATATCTGCCTCTTTCTGACTCACCCCTG